CTAAAGAAAATGCACACACATATTTTATTATGTTCATGTTTTTTAATTTTAAGACTGCTATTACATTTGATTCTTCTTCTTTTTTTGTCTTCACTGGCTAAAAACTCCTGCTAAAAGCTCTAAGTCCATCAGTTCACTTTAGTCTTGTTCCAATACCTGAGTGTTGAGTGCACAGCGGTTTCTCAGAACTGGCTGGCTTAATTGTGTGCAGACTCTTAGTTCCTTATCTCTTCAGCAGATAAACTTCGATTTCAAGGGATGTCCCCAAATAGTCGACTCTACGACATGTTTGTTGTGGAGGCAGTGGGTCTATTCTTGTTTCATCACATTTGGGGAATATTTTTTTTTTTCAATGATTCAAACCACAGACATTCCTTTTCTTAGTGAACTTTAAATGTTATTCATTACAGTAGAACCTCGCTTAACGAGCACCTCTCATAACGACTAATTCGCATAACGCGCAAAACATGTTATTTCTAACTTTAAGAAGCTCTACACTAAAGCACTATTCGAGCATTGTTTTTAGGTGATTAAAGGGACCAACCTCATTTTTAAAGAGTTTTGGAAAAATCACGTCCACATCGTTGCCTGCCTCAAGATGATCGACAAAGAGGGAAAAGGGGTTACCAAGAGAACCCTAACTTCTGCTTGGAAGAAGCTTTGGCCGGAGAGCGTTGTCGATTTGTGACTTTGAGAGGTTCGAGACCGTACCTGTAGAACCTGTAGTCAACGATATTGTGTCTTTGGCCACTATCATGGGATTGTGTGTGGATAACAGTGATATCAAAAAGCTTGTGGAAGAGCATAGCCACGAGCTGACCACCCAAGAGTTTATGGAATGGCTTTGTGTTTCACAGCAACAAGTTTTGGAGGAAAGTTTGTCAGAGGAGGAGGAGGTAACAGAACGCCAACAATCTTCTGGCGAGGTAAGAGAAATGCTGAAAGCATGGCAAACTGTTGCATCTTACATTAAGAAGCATCACCCTAAAAAGAAAGTGGCTATGTGCCACTATTAAATTTATTTAATGCTAATGCTGTGTCGCATTTTCGCCAAATTTTGAAGCGTCGGCAAAAACAAATGTCTCTGGATCCTAATTATTTCGACTTTTTGTTCTTTTTTTTTGTTCCTGCAAATCGAATTCGCATTCCAGGTGGGTTCGTTCCCCGTTTGAAGAAAAGATGAAGATGATTCACTCTCCTTAACAATATGTATATAATTTTCTATGAATAAAAGTTATACATAGCATTTTGAGAGTATTTTTTTCGACATGGAACGCATTATCGTATTTTACATTCATTTATATGAGAACAATTGTTTCGCATAACGAGTATGATTCTGGAACGAATTATGCTCGTTAAGCGATTTTCCACTGTATATGTTAGTTTTAGTTTTCACTTTCTTGTTTCAAGTCACAGTTATTCCATTTCTATGTTAACTTACATGTCTGTTCTGCATAATTAAGACTGTTTTTGCTTGCGATTCTTTTTTTTTTCAAGCTACATTTATTCCTTTTCTTAGTAAACTACTGTAAAGTATATTTTTTTTTCTTCCAGCCACACTCATCCTTGTTCTTTGTAATATGACGTCTATATTCTTCATATTTAAGACTGTTGTTATATCTTTCCACTTTAACTGTTTCTAACCACGCGAATTTATTTTCTCAGTGAAGAGTTTATATTACTTAGATTGTTTGCTTAATATTACAACAATTCACATTTTTGTGTATATGAGTAAACAAAATATTGACATATTTAAAAAAAAAAAAAAAAAAAAACACACACACACTGACACATAGAAGACGTGGAAATGAGGTAGTGATTTTTTTTCCTTGAAGCAGGTCGAGAATATGGTGAAATACAATTTTTAAATTATTTCCTGAAATAGTGGTTTTGAAGTCACCCCTCAAAGCAGTAAGACCAGTCGAAATAAGTGTGTCGAGCATACCAATAGCAGTTTTGGATGCGAATTTTGATGAATAGATTTATTTGTCCTATTCGGACTGCTACCTAGAGGTTTAAAATACCATCCTGTGATTTCAAACATCCCTACCTGGACGACCGACCAACAAGTGAGACCCCAGATACCTCGCTCAATCTCAAAAGAATTTATAATTAGGGCACCCGTAACGGCTACACCGTCCAGGTATAACCTGCAGTCATTTACACGTGAGGACGATAGAGACAGTGACTTTATATGGAACAAAAACTATCTTCTTCTTTGCGTTTCCCAAATGTAAACTCCGGCGGGAAATTCTGGCTGGTAATCCACCACTGGACTTTAGACTTGTTCCAGAACCTGAGTGTTACGTGCACGTCCGTTTTAAACATCTGACTTATTTGCATGCAGGTTGTTGGTTCCTTGCTTTTCAGGAAGATGCACTTCGACTTTAAAGGAAACCCCCACTTAGTTGATTCTTACGACAAGCTTTTTGGGGAGGCAGTGGTCTATTCTCCCCCCCCCCCCACAATGGGAGCCCAGAACCAACATGGGGAATGGGAGGGGGGGGGGGTATTATGCATGTGAGGCAGTGGAAGACCGAAATATGTGGGGGACAAAAAACAGTTAGTTTTTTAGTGGACAAATCATCATCATTACATATAAAACCACTGATTTAGTAATTGCTTAGACCCCCTCATCAGTATATCTAACAAAATGTAGCTGACGTGAACACTTTTCTTTGGCTTCATGCCTAGTTACCTCGTTTAGCCTGGCTCATTTGTTTACACTTGTTTGTTCAGTCCTGTAATGGCTCATCACCAAACATAAAGTATTCAATTTTTCATCATGGTGTAGTGCTCGACCGCCCATTACTGTAACCCTGTCCTCAAATTTATCAGCTCTTTCATTTCCTCTTAAGCCAGCATAGGCTTGGACAAAATGAAATTGAATTGTTTGTCATCTGTGACTACCTTTGATGACTGTTACTGGACAGCAAATAATCTCAAAGATGACTTAATGAAAAAGAAGGTATAATAACAGCGGCTATCTGCTCTTAAAGAAGGGCATTGAAACACAAAATTCTTTCAGAAACACACAATTAGCCAGCGATTTTGTTACCAACAAAATGTATATATACCTGTTTGTAACCGGCCCAATGAATGGATTTGCTAGAAGTTGCATGATGGCTTTAGAAGCAAACATAAATCCAACTTCAACATTCTCAGCATCGAGGTCTGCATGCCTGGGAGATCGTTCGGTCACCGTCATAAACTCATTGGACAGGTTACGCCACACGGTCTCATTATAGCAGACTTGGCCCATGCTCCGGACATAATAGCTGGGAACTTTTTTGTACAAGAAATTAGGCAGAGACGTGTATGGCTCAGTGTCGTTTTCATTGGCGTTGATACATCTCAGTTCTACAACCGGTGCTTCAGTTATTCCTAGCTCAGCTTTTGATCTGTTTACTTCAACATAGGGGCTCTCGATTTTTCTTAGGAAGTTGGGCACAATGGGAACTGAAAATAATAATAATAAATAAAAGAAATATTACATGTTTTAAACACAATTACATTTCATGAGGTCGAGTGTGGAGTCTGAAGATCCACTGTAAGCTTCTAACCCTGTAGCGTTTCCATACATTCAATATGTACCATACAGTAAGGCCCTTACTGCTGTATTCATCTTATCTTAAATTTTTTAAAACTTATCTCAGTTGTTATTCTCCCTCTTCCAATTCATCATTAGCATCATCATCATCTGTCTGATTTTCTTCTATTTATTCATTTTCTTCTCCTCCTCCTCCTTCCCCTATCCTGTTTCTTATCCCCACCCAGAGCAGTACCAGTACTAAAGCATTAGGCCCACAGCTAGTAACAGTGTACTGTGTACTGCAGCAGCAATACTAGTAACAGTGTCAGCAGAAGAATGAGTTAAGAACCTACACGAAAGCTCTCGGGACATTCCCATAACCGCTCCATCCACATTTTCAAGAACCAGCAAAGAATTTCAGTTATGATAGTACTGTTGCTGTTGTTGTTGTTGTTCTGTGTTGGTACCTTCTGTGTTTTCAGATGATAGTATTATAATGTGCTATAGACAGGCATGTAAATCGCACCATATGACAATGATGAGTGTCAGTAGCAAGGCCTGCCTGTGGTAGGAAAAAATCTGCTAAAATATAGCATGGGATTTCAAAACCGTTGTTTTGTGTGCAAATTTAGTGAACTAAATGGTAACAGGTAGCTAGGACATCGCAGCGGCTAGCCGCTCGACTGCTGTGCTGGAGTTTTTTTGGGCTCAAATCCACATCAGGAAAATTTTAAAGTCGACTTAGGATTCCCAGATCCACCTAGCATTAATGGACACAAAGAAAGACCCAGGGGAGTTTTCTTCTTCTTTACAATCACCGGCTGTAAAATCCGGCGTAAATTCCTGGTTGTTCGTTCACTTCTGAACTTTAGTCTTATTCCACAACCTGAGTTTCGCTTGCACATTCGTTTTTATTTATCTAGCTTATTTGTATGCATACTGTTGGTTCCTCGCCTCTCAGGCAGATGCACTCTGACTTCGAAGGAAACATTCCTAATTAGTAGACTCTTACGACATGCTTTTTAGCGGCAGTGCGTCTATTCTTCTCACCCCCACCCATCCCCAACAATGGGAACTCGGACAACACACAGGGATCCTGGGAAGTAAATACGATTAGAATTACTTTAGCCATAGTACGCATCAAGTTCTCATTCCCTATCAGCATCATAAGTCCATTTACACTGTGCTGTTGGACACCAGATGTAATTGACTGATCAGTTTCCTCCTTCTTTGTTGATCAGATGTAATTTACTTGCAGTTTGTGAATATACAGGAACTGTCTCTTCAGTCAGATTCTGTAATCAAGTATTTCTAAGTCTGCTTCTTCTGTTGTTTTTTCCTCTACAGAGTTATTTGGTGTCAGTAAGCAACGGTCAATGTTTTTTTTATTTTTTACATGCTTTTTTTTCTTCTTGTCGTCCTCTCTGTCTTTTGTAGACAAGAAAGGGACTGACCATTACGATGTCTG